AGGATATTTCTTATTGGCTGTGTGATTCTTCGATCGATCGCCCTAAGGATTGTGCTATAGTTGACACGAGAAGGGTTCGAACTCCCCCTATATTATGAAGGTGCTGCAGAACAGAGTAAGGGTTTTTGAGGTGCTTGTCAGCCCTTAATAGGGTATCTCTTGTTGGCTCTGTGATTCTTCAGTAGAGCTCCTTAAGATTGTGGTAGTTGACACGAGAAGGGGGTGGGACGCCCACATGTAATCCGGCTATATTATGTATGTAGCGTAGAACATGGAAGGGTTTCGATGTGCTCAGTCCCTAATTAGGTTATCTCTTATTGGCAGCGTGATTCTTTGATAGAGCTATTTAAGACTGTGCAAGTGACCTGAGAAGGGTTAGGACTCCCACGTGTAATCCGGTCATATTATGTATGTGTCGTAGAACAGCCTGGAAGCGTTTCGAGGTGCTCAGTCCTTAATTAGCTTATTTCTTATTGGCAATGTGATTCTTCTTTAGATTGTGCTAGTTGACCCAAGATTAGGTGTAATCTGGTTTATTATGTATGTGACGCAGAATAGGGAAGCTTTTTGAGGTGCTCAGTCTTTTTGGTAGGGTATCTCTTATTGGCTGTGTGATTCTTTAATAGGGGTCCTTAGTTGACCCGAGAGGGAAGGGGGGGGGGGCGGGACTCCCACATGTGCTCCGGCTATATGATCTATGTGCTGCAGAACAGGGAAGAGATTTGAAGTGCTCAGTCCATAAATAGGTTATCTCTTATTGGATTCGTGATTCTTCGATACAGATTGTGCTTGTTGACCAGAGATGAGTGTGGGACTTCCGGTTATATTATGAGTGCGGTTACACACACCATGGTAAAAGGTCTTTCCCGTTGTAAATTTGCCGCGGTAAATTTTTACTCAGGTTTACTTTTCCAAGGTGACTTGCGGTTATACGTAATTTAATTTACCTCGGTTGAATTCCGTTTTCACACAATTATTTTCCCGGGAAACACTTGAAGGACTTTCACAGCGAGTCGGATTTTCGGTTTCATAAAAACTGTTGACATCGAGGATAAAAAAAAAAACGGGTAGTCCATGTTGTATTTCTGAAATTTCAGAATCAAGTGAACAAGCGAGTGAATTTGCCTTGCAAAAAAATACAAACGTTTGCTCAAATTATCGGGCATGTAAGCAAATGATTTCAAGCGTTTTTCTGAAGACCATTTTGAAATAGTAACTTACAGAATAGTGCAAAGTGCTATTCTTTTGGTGTTCTTGGAAAGAAAGGCGCTAGTTAGGCCCTTCAGATGATGAGCTTCGTGATTGCCTGTCTTACCGTGGGCAGCAAAAAACCCTTGATAATTACGACGTTAAATGTCATGTGCGCTTTCTTTTTTACGTATCCATTTATATTTAACACGGGAATCAAGCTTGATTGATTGATTGATTTGGGAAATTTACCTCAGGAAAGTCGGGTCACACGCACTGACACAATTTCCCGCGTTAAAAGGGTCATTTACCACGGTCAAAGTGTTCCGTGCAACCGCACCTTATGTATGTGCCGCAGACTGGGGAAGGATTTTCGAGGTGCTCACTCCTTAATTAGCTTGTCTTATTGGCTGTTTGATTGATTCTTCAATAGGGCTCCTTAACATTATGCTAGTTAAATCGCAGACATAAATCCCTAAACCACCCGTGAACACATTTTAAAACAAGACGCCGGAAGAAAACGATATCAACGTCACTGGGAGTAGAAAAGAAATAAAAAAACGCAATGCTGATTGCCCGTTTTTCCTTAAACAGGGTGTGGTTTTTCGGAATTGAGCGGTGAAAAGAGTACTGATCAGTTTCAGTTTTATTTCCATTAAATATAGACAGGGTTTAAGAAAATTCACGAAACACACTAAATTGTCAGGCCTAACCTACTCCCCCCATCCCGGAGCCCCTTGACGCCCTTTCTATCTGAGTATTATTATTACTTTTTTTTTCAACACCCCCAGAAACACAAAGGGTAGAGCTTTCAAGAATATCTTGTTCCAGATTGTTCCGAGACGAAAAATTCTAAGCAAAAACAATGATGAAACTCGCTTAGATAAATGCAATAATTTTAATTGGTGGACTATCCAAAATTATGAATTTTCATGTTAGGCCTCCTATATTTTTTCGATTCTACTGTCATGGTACAATCAGATTCTTTTAAGGTTTTATTGTCTTATTTAATTTTTATAGAAGCAAGTTTTCTTTTTTCTGGTAATGAAATTTCCAAAGTTCAGAAGAGAGAAAAACTGTCTCAAACAGTGTCAAAGTCGACGCCAATTATATTACGATGTTTTGTCTCGGGTATAAACAGAGCAAATATTTTCGTTAATTGTTTGAATCAGTATAGTTTGTTCCTAAAACTGCCCATGGTTTCGCTATTTTTGAGCCCTCTTTGACTCTAGCTTTTCAGATTTTCTACAGCTGCCTATGTTTGGTTTTTCAACTGAAATACAGCTATCTAAATTGTCCTCAGAAACAAAATGGCCCCATTCTACAGATTTCATAAGTTATGTCAATCTTTGGCGCGTTTTCTGCTGTTTGTTATACTTTTCACCCTTACTCAGCAAAAGAACAAATAGTGATCGTGCTGGGAGATTACAATATTTCCTCCGCTAAAGCATAATATGATCCTACGGACAAAAACCTCTAAGAGTGTCACGGTGTGTCGCCAGGATTAATTAAATTTTTATGTTAGAATGAAAATTGACGTACTTCCCGGTCTGGTTAATTGACGTAGACCGAGGAACCATTCAAGTGCGCTGTCAACAAAGCCAGGGCTAAAATTGAAAAAGAAAAAAGCAGGCAATAGATTCGGTCATGACTGACATATGCTACTGAAAAATCAATAACGAAAACGGATGAATTCGCTTTCATCCCGTTGTGGTTTATTTTGCTTCGATCAGACTCTGTGCTGATTTTTTTCTGAGACTTTTACCTCAAAACAGCTTCAATGATGTCGCTGAGATGTTGCAAAATCTTTCTCTTAAATCTTTTTTTTGGAGATCTGTTGGTACCCTCGAGTACTCTACAGCAAGAACCTTCTTCAAGTCAAGATACATCAAAACGTGAGTTTTACATATAATGAGATCCGAGGTTGGTCAAACTGAGACTGAAAAAGCATATCAAAAGATTCTCAAGTGCCGTTATGTAACCCCTTCCGTAATTTCTCTTTTTAAGAAATGCTCTAAAATCCAAAGATAATCGGTTTCTGAGACTAATGCAGTATTTGTAAAATTTTTTAAGGTAACAAATAATTATTTCATCGCCATTTTAATGGCTCGATAATTAATTATGTTATATATAGTCACCATAACGATCAAACCTGACACAGTTTATTTTTGGTGTGAAAAAAATCGGGAAATAATAAAGGCAAGAAATTTTTTGCTACACATTCTCAAAGAATTAGCTCTTTTCACATCACGCTTTTAGCTTCTTACACTCCACTTTAACAGCTTTGCTTTTACGATAACTGATGTTTAAAACCCAATCAACCTTAATTGTATGTCATTTGGTTTAGGTGATTTTCATGTTTTTTTTAAACGGAAATAAAATGCAGAACGGTAGAAGCTAAGAAGCAAATTACGGTTCCGACTTCCTTTTTCCTCCATACTTATGTTGCTGACGTGAAAGTTTTAGGTTTAGATTTAGATTTAGAGCTCTTTAAGCACATTAATTTAGCAAGGCAAACGCAACAGAACTTGACGGACAGTTAAGTGCTACTAGTGGTGGGTCACTGTCAGAGATTGTTACGTTAGTAGTGGGTCTTTTCCCAGTTGTTCTCCCTATAGTAGGGAGCTCAAGCAACAACGACGGAAACGGCTACCAAAACGTCACTTAAAAGTAAACTCCCACTGCCTCAAACTTTATCGCGCTTATTCCATCTCGTTTAATTCGTACAAATGTTGGCAATTTTTTTGAGAGTTGGATTCTAAAAAACTGTATCAGAGTTCAGGAAAAGAAAAGGATTATTATTGTTATCTTGTGTTCCCGTCCTCGACAAAACGTGAAATTAGGCACTTTCACTTTGTAGTCGTGCAACGACGGTTAAGAAATGTACAAAAAAGCGTGATGCACGTGCAAAGTTGTTGTTTTGCAAATATAAACCTATTGCTTGTGTAACTAGGTATGTCCCATTAGACGGAGGACCTTTTTCTCAGTTAGTTCATGGCCGAGTGTTGGTCTGGCTCGGAATTGAACCGGGGCACGACCGTCCCACAGTCTAGTACCCAACAAATTGAGCCAAACCTTTGGTTTCAAAACTCTTGGCGGCTTTTTTAGTGCATAAAAACCACTTATTTAAAATATTTCTTAATTAGAAGTATCGTTACGGGCCAAAAGAAGACTTAAACAATTTTCATTTTGCCCTTTCTAGTATCTGAACAGGATAGTTATCTCACTTCAAGTAAAATCAGTACCACTCAATAGTCTAAGTGCTGTGGTTCTTATTGGTACAGTTTAATTCTGTTAAGCGGAATGTTATGATGAAAGCGAAAACAGGAACACAACGGCGGCTGAGTCAAGAGCGCAAGGATCAAAAGACATCTGTGAAGAGAAGCTGGTCATCACTGAGTTTCCTCTAGCGCGTCACAAATAGTCCCGAGAAGAGAAGGGAGCCAAGCTAACACCCTACTTCGTACCCAAAACCCTTAAACAGGCATTTCGTGGATTGATAGGTGTGGGAAACTGCAGATCGCCATCTACAGGAGAAGCTCCAGTGGCATTTGTGAGAGAGCAGTTAGAACGCCTTTCATTGGAGAGCATTCAAAACGCCATCTATAGAAAAGAATATGGGCATCCATGAGAGAACAATTTGGATATCGTTCGAGAATGAGAAGTTAGAAGGTCATTTATGGGATTGAAACAGCTGCATGAAGGGGTGGAAGGGGTGGGGTAGGTGGGGGAAATTGGGGGCACTGAATAATCTTGCTAACAAAAAGCTTGATCCATTGTAATACATTTTTTTTTAATTTTTTCTATAAACCTCAGACTGCCCAATTTTTACCTTTGAGCATGGCGCTGACAATTGGTCCAAACAAGGCATTGCGTTCGTTCATCAGCCCATATTTGGGGGTCACTTAGATCATTCACCCTCGAGATCTGGTCACCATGGAAACTGGCTAGTAGACTCTTCCAGTAACGTAACCACGCCTTGTAGATGGCAGAATGCTTCACTTGGGGATGGTGCCACGGGAACCATGACGTCACCACCATTTGTAATAAGAAGCTCTTATTTGTCATTCCTGATTGGTGGTAAGAAAATTGTTGCACTTGCCTCTCAGGTTAATGCTGGAAAAAGTTAGGGAGGCGCCAGATCATTATACGTTTCTGGGAAACTCCCCACCTACCCCTCCCCTAGGCCAACGTTAACACCTACTTCTCACTTAGGGCAAAATGTTGTCTCAGGGGAGGGGTAGGTGGGCAGTTTCCCAGAAACGTGTAATGCTCCGGCCCTCCTAGGGCGAGAAGGGTCGTATGTCTCCAGTCTGAAATTCGGAACCTGTCTTTTCGCGTATTGAGGAGGAAGAAGTCATGTCCCTGTTGGTTTTGCAATTCTTTTCTCGGTTTCCTTCGTCGCTTTCGCAGTTTCAACCAACTTTTGTGTCGTTTGTCGGCTTTCATTTTTCTGTGTTGCTGTTTCAAGGCCATGTCGCTTCTCAGTATTTAACCTTCATGCTGCTGTGTTGTCGTAACTACTATTGTCCTTGAAAGGCAAGATCGTTAAAATAGTTACCTTAAGATACACCGTTTCAGCCTACGGGTACGGGTAAGCGAGCATATGTTTATCTCGTAAATTTATAAAAGGCAACCACTGTTTCCCAGATGTGATAATGGTGTAACCATTCTACCCGGTAGCCTACCCGTTTTTCCTGGGTAAGAAGCAATCTACCCGTATTTACCGCTACGTGTGCGGCTCTATTACCCGTACCCATACACGGAAACGGTGTATCGTAAGGTGTCTGATATTTCAGAGTTTAGCACAGAAAAATTAAACTGAGGAAAAGAAACGTTTACTGACAGCACCCTTTACGAATCATGAGAGAAAAGTATCAAAAAACAGTATCAATCCAATTTTCCTTTTTGCCAGATTTTGGCACCCGAAGGAGTAGCAATTATAGCCAACAATTGTCAACTTGAGGGGAAGACGCAATTGGCCATTTTTCGTGTCCCAAAAATTCCCACTTTCAGAACGAGGCTAAGTGCAAAACCTTTCTCGTGTAGATGAATTTTATTTGCAAGAGAATAAACAATCATTTTTTAGATCAATGGCTTCGCACTTCGCCTCGCTTTGAGACAGGGGTTTTGGGTAACTCGGAAATTGCCTATTGACAAATGCGAAGAGTGTACGATTGTGTTTTTGCTGTATTGCCTAACGTTTTTTAGGTGGCTGTGATGACAAGAAGGTTCGCATGGAAATCTTGGTGAACGGAAGCACTATAATATCAAGGACTGGCAGCTGCCAATCACAAATGAAAAGAACAGGAGTAAACCTGGATCGGTACAAAGGCCGAACGGCCAAGGTCAAACTGATAGACTACGGAGTCGGAAACTGGGGCCACATTACTTTTGATGACTTGCGACATGGAGTACCATGCGAAGGTAATCATTTTCTCTTTAGTATTATTTGGTATTTGTTATGCAGTCACAATGTTATGGCAAAACTTGTTAGTATAACAATTTTTCAAAGTTCACTTTCGTGTACGGAAAATTGGTCAAGTCTTAAAAGACGTTTCCATCAAATGTAGTGGAAAGGAAATCACACGCATTATTTTGGTCATAATTAAAAAACACTTTATTTCCATTCTAAGTATCATAAATAGAAATTTAACTATTGCAACAGTGGTGGTCAGATTTATACATGTTGAATTGGGTATACAAGTCTCTTCCGTTAACGCAAATTCTCCCTCCCTCTCGCGCTTAAAGGAGCAAGGCCAACATAGGTTAAAATGCTCAACCCATGCCACTGGTGAAGTTTAACCCAAACACTTTCGTATTAGGTCAAATATCAGTGCCGGATTCACACCTTGAGATCTGGTGTGTGTGTGTGTGTGTGTGTGTGTAGGGGGGGGGGGGGTTGGGGGACCCAGACCCAGACCCTTAGATAAGGGAAGGCTCCGATGTCATAAATGTGTTTTTTGGGGATCTAAAAATAAGGGGGCCCCGCCCCCCCGGATCCGCCACTGAATATTCACCCACCATTATAATTAGACGCCTGATTCACGTATTGTTAAAGGAGCTGTGTCACGAAAGATTTCACAAGAAAGTGATTTCCACCAAAGTAAGTGAAACGAGAAAATGAAAGGTTTTAGATAACACAGCAATTACAAAGGTTGCACGAATGGACAAACTTAAAGAAGATTAAAACGGATTGCAATTGTGGTTTTTGAAAACTTGTTAGCCCAACAGTTTTTCAAAGTAAATTTTTTTGTAACGTTTAAAATGATGGTTGGAAGACAAATTTGAAGTTGTGATATGCATTTTAAGGGACTGTTATTCGGCATCTGCTGAAGAGATGGTTTTAAACCCGCAAAGCTCTTGATCCGTTAAATTAGATTTGCAAAAACTTTATTTATATTAACCGTACTATTGCAAATATATGTCTCGCAGACATTAATCTTACTATTATGATATAGGTGTAGAAATTATGCAAACAACGTCGCGACTGTTAGAGCTAGAGTTTGGCTGCATGTAATAAAACATGTTAGCTACTCGAGAAACCATCAAGACATTTTCTTGTTATTTTGGCGGTACAATCTATTTTAATTTGCACAGCTCCATGTCGCTATTTTTTAAATCTATATTTGTCTATAGTGCTATATTTTGGCAACTGAACCTTAGTTTTTATACATCTATACACCTGCCAATACAGTATCAGTTTATTTGAAATCTCATTTCTCACAGAACAAGTGTATAACTATCAATTATAGCCATGTAGTGTATCATGGGAAAATGTACTCTTAACAATATTTTAACTAAAAAACTACAGATCTCAAAAAACTTAGCAACGTGGCTCGACATCAAGCCTCATGCTTCTAGCCATATTGGTCTTAGATGAAGACCATGGCACGTTTTCAGGTTCAAAATTAAGTGTATAAATGCCACAAAAATTGAATTGGTGAATAAATTGTTATACTAAAATTCCGCGCTGATTTTCAGTAAATGAGCTGTTTTGAGATGCTGCCTTGCATTGGAATCCTTCCGTAGGCCCTCAAAATATTTACTGTACTTTGTCTACTAATATTTGTAATGCCTTTGTTACGCTAGATCTCATGCCATGTAGCAATCCAATATGTCAAACACCAGACATACGTCAAGAAAGTTACTATAACTGCTCCTGTGGGAAATCTCTGCCAAATATTCAGTCATGTTACAGTAACGATACATGCATCATTCCTCACGGAAGTTGCAAGTCATTTTGCAACGACACAGAAACTAGCTGTCAGTGCCGCCAATGCACATGTGACAGTGGTCACTCTTTTAACAGGCACAATCAGTCATGTGACGATATTAATGAATGTCAATCAGGCGCGCATGATTGTCAACACACGTGTGTTAACACAGACGGGGGTTATCGGTGTTCGTGCTTGAGTGGATACCAGCTAAACAGCGACCAAAAGTCTTGCAGTGACCGCGATGAATGTAGCGACAACAAAGGCGGATGCGATCATGTCTGTGTAAACAGTGCCGGTAGTTATTACTGTCTATGCAACCAGGGCTGGTCGATAAGCCCGGCAGACAAACTGGCTTGCATTGATAAAGATGAATGCAGTCTGAACCCATATTTGTGCTCCGATGAATGTGTGAACACTCCAGGGAGTTACTACTGTAGTTGCCGATCGGGTTACACTCTTTCGCCTGATAAATCAAGCTGTGATGATATTGATGAGTGTCTGACCAACAATGGAGGATGTCAATTCCACTGCAAAAATACTCCAGGGAGTTTTCAATGTTTGTGTGAACCGGGCTATCAGATTGGAAGCGATGGAAGGACATGTATCGACGTCGATGAGTGTAGCAATAGTCGGTCACCCTGCTTACAGGTGTGCGTTAACACTTTAGGATCATACTACTGTTCCTGTCAGTTTGGCTATCAACTACAAAGTGACAACACTACCTGCATTGACGTAAACGAGTGCCAGCTCCATCTGCACAATTGCTCTCAGTTGTGCAATAACTTTCCAGGCGGATATAACTGCTCATGCTCTACTGGTTACCAACTTTCTGCGGACAGCACCACCTGCTCGGATGTGGACGAGTGTTTGCATGAAAACGCAGGCTGTCCTCAACTATGTGTGAACACGATAGGATCATTCGACTGCTCCTGTTTCCGTGGTTACAAGCTTGATATTGACAACAGCACTTGCGTTGACGTTGATGAATGCGAGCGCAATCTAGACAATTGTTCACATCTGTGCAACAACTTTGATGGCAGCTACAATTGCTCGTGTTTTAGCGGTTATCAACTCTCTGTAGACGGGAAGAACTGCTCTGACGTCGACGAGTGTTCGCAAGATAACGAGGGATGTTCTCAGATTTGTGTCAACACGCCTGGAAACTACAACTGTTCTTGTTTCCAAGGATACCAAATGAAGTTTGATGACGACCGATATCTTTGCAACGAAAGCTGCAAATCTAACAACTCTTGTCCAAGACACTGCACGGATTGTGAGGATGTGAATGAATGCGAGGATGCTGACCCTTGTGAACAAGAATGCGAGAATACAAATGGTAGTTACATATGCTCGTGTTATGTCGGGTTTACATTGAAAGGAGATAGAAGAACTTGTAGCGATGTCGATGAGTGTGAACTGAGCAGTAATATGGGTTGTACCAGCTGCGTCAACAGACCAGGAGACTTTCAGTGCACATGCGCGATGGGTTATACGTTCAATAAGGACAATATGATTTGTGAAGGTAAGATTTCGGATCATAATTCAAGTTCCTCGACTCCGTAATCATGGGAGAGTTGGTAATAGAAAACCAAATACTAGTGAGCGTAAGCAACGATGACGATGACGACTGCTGTTTGTCGTTCAATTTGTCAAATGTTGGTGAATGTATCTGGAGTTGAATTCTAAAGGACTCCATCTAAGTTTAAAGAAAGAATCAGTAAATCTTTGTCTTGTGTTCATGTCCTCAAGAAAACGTGAAATTAGATAGTTTCACGTCTTGGTCGTGCAACGATGGCAGAGAAATGCATAAGTAGATAAATTTTTATACAAAATGTTAAACTGGAATGCGCGGTTTTCCCTTATGAATTTAGTTGTACTGGAATAGAAATCAGCTTCTGAATGAATTCAACCGGCCCAAATTAATTTAAGTCGGCCTTAAGTCGAATTCGATTCGGTTTGTGAAGTACGGTGTTTGAACTGGGCCTTGGTTAAAGTTCATACGCTTGATCCTGACGGCCTCCACAAACTGAAAAAAGTCTTCGACCAATTCTCATTTTCTTTTGTCTATCAGTGCCATTTATCAAGTGCTACCATTTTGGACTTGACGATTTTATTGTACTTTTTATCACAGAGAAAAAGCCACTGGAAGTAACTCTCACAGAAGGGCAACGGAAAATCTTGGTATGAGGGTTTTTACAATCTACATGCTCATCAAACACAAATCCTTTTTTCTGTTGTTGACTGTCCTTTCCTGTGGTGTTGATTATAATGCTGTGTCGTAATAGCAATTCATCAGAATCCAAATCATAATCAGACACTGCCAAAAATCAAAATAACAATTATAATTACAATCGTTATCATTATAATAAAAAATGAACAGGCCCTAATTTGGCGGATGGCTAAAACATTTCACAGGAATATCCTTCTCGTCCAGTACATTTAGGACAGCCGTTTGGATGACGCTATCGAAGACAGTCCGCAAGATGGAAAAACAAGTGACTTTATAGGGGTAGCACAATAATCTGGTGACCCAGTAGTTCTCATAGCCTGTGTACAAACCCCACCTCCTCTCCCCTCAGGAAAAATCAGAGAAGGGGCCCCTTCCCCTATTTCCCCGAGGGGGGGGGGTGGTCTGTACACAGGCTGTAGTTCTCATTGTGGCCCACAAATAGAGACAAACAAATGATTAAAATATACATTAAAAAGGTTAAGAATGCCAACTGGCTGGAGGTGAGCCAGTTGACTAAAAATAAACGTCGCCGAGGAGCTGAACTCTGGACTACCGAGAACAAATCCAGTTAGCGGTTAGGATGGGGATTAAACTCGGGGCCTCAGCTAATAAGAAGTAAAGAGAAATTATCGCATGCAGCTTTTAACTTTTAGGGCCTGTTTACATGGGCGTAGGGGACCCCAGGTAGGGGAGGTAACCCGCTTAGGTGGGGTAACCCGACTGTCCATATAATCTCTCATTTTAATTTGATCACATTTACATGATAAGTGCGTTGACCTGCCACATGTTACCTCACCTACCCGGGGTCCCCCACCTCTATGTAAACAGGCCCTTAGTTATTTCCTCTCATGACAAGCCGTTTGCACGATGACGCCATTTTATTACTACGACCAGAATCCTTCAGGGTTTTACTTTCTTATGCAGATTAGGGCTTTTGTTCTTTAAATTTCGCTAGGATTGCCAAATGTAAGTATGAAAGAAAAACAAAAAGGAATCTGGCCGTATTAGTAAAATGTCGTCATCGTACTTTTAGCCTATTAATACCCTTAACGATTTTAAGGAATATAAACATCAAAAAGCATTTCCAAGTTAACTCTGTTGTGCTATTGATTTTCAGGAAGCTCCTGACGTTGCCGCCATCGTGGAAACAACCAATCATATCTTAAAGGAAGTAAATGTTTCAAAGACCATGAGCAGTGAGGCACTGACCAAGACTCTGGGTGTACTGAGCAACCTGACAGAAAAGATTCAGTACTTCAATACAAGTCAGGAGGAAGCAAAGGAACTGATAACAGTAAGAAATTGTCAAGATTTTCCAATGTTCATCTACAATTATGCTCCCCAATTCTGCACAAGGCACCAGAAATCGCCTCCCTACCCCAGACCAGTTGCGAAGGGAACTCTAGTAGACCATTTCGGAGTTCCAAAACTCTCACTTTCAAAACGAGGCTAAGTGCAAAACCTCTTTCGTGGAAAAGAGTTTTATTTGCATGAGAATAAAAACCTATTTTCATATCAATGGCTTCCCACTTAGCGTCGCTTTGAAACAGAGGCTTGGGGCAAATTAACAATAGCCCCTTTTTCATACCACTGATTAATATTACCCCATTATGGACAGATACCAGTTGATTTCTTTAACCTATCCCAAATTAACCTTTTCTGTAGCGCCTATTGTTTCCTTTGTTAACGGTAGATGCCATCATTGGTAACCAAGCCTTTAGTCATGCTAGAAATAATATATAACCTGGGTAAAGTTACAATGAGGCAAATAATACGTCTTTAAATAGTCTTAGAAAGAACGACGTCAACGCCCAAGCTGAATTTACGGTCACCTGTCAGTTAAGGAAAATAATTCGTTAGATTGTGTACATAAAATTTTTCGGACCTCTGGCGGGTCGGTGTTGTAGTGCAGTGGTAAGGGAGAGGGATAAGGATACGAAAAGTTTGGGTTCGACCCTGTGTGGCGATTTTGTTTCTTTTTAATAGAAAAACTCTCAATAACAGGTCAAAAAAAATTAAAGTGTTTTGTAAATGGCAGCGACCGTTTAAGAAAGGGACAACTGCCTCGGCGGCACATCCCTATGTAGCCCATATGACGAAGCTGGGCCGAGTTGTTCAAAGCTGGGTTAAGATAACCCAGGGTTAGTGTGATTTGAATTCGGATTTGAAAGCTTAAAAAGCATTTTAGTTTTAATTCTTTCTGTCTACATGTTGATGTTTGGAAGCTCTAAACATAACAGAGAAAGTTATCCTAGAAAATACTTTTGAACACAAGAAAAAGAAACGCGGATTACATTTAACCCCGGGTTAAGCGCTAATCCGCCTTCGATGTACTCTAAATACAGCTTTAAAGGGCTTAGAGAAGTGATGATATCACAAAAAGAAATTATTCCATTGGGCAGGCTAATCAGAAAGAACAAGATGAAAAACGTCGACTTGTCAAAATAAAGTTGCTATTGCCAATTGGTGGTGAGATATAAGCCACATTTTTTTATGATGGCTCCATACAAATCCTTCTAAAACAGGCATGGGTCTTACCGCTTACGATCCAGGTCAATTCTGGAAGGATTTACACAGAGCCAACGCTGCTAATATCTCACCGCCAATTTACTCCAACAACCTGAATTTCCTCCAATGGACAGTTTTCATCGTGCTCTTTCTTAATATCTCAGTCAATCCCATAATTTCACAAATTCAAATTTTGGTGACGTCATATTTCTTTCTTCTGTTTATAGTGCTTTCGTTCCGTCCTTTTTAATAATAGACTGAACAGATATGTCTTTTTTTACAGACCGTAACTGTGATGTTCAGTTTGTTAATGACAAAAGAAAGAGAGTCGTCCTGGAGAAAGCTGAAGGAGGAAGAGGTGAACCTTTCTTTCATCATGGATGGGCATTATTACAATGACAATTAATCAAACATTAAACACTCGGAGTCGGAGTCGTAAGCAGAGTCATAAGCGCGACGGAATCGGAGTCAGAAGAATCAGAACGTTTCCTTTACTTCCGACTCCGCTTACGACTCCGTCGCTTACGTTCCGCTTATGATCTAGTGAAAACCAGATTGTCGGAGTCGGAAGCGGAAGCGGAAGGATAAGCCAATCAGAATGCACGTTCCCACGCTTTGTGTTTGGTTTGGTGCTTCTGCTTCTGCTTCCGACTCTGACAATCTGGTTTTCACTAGATCATAAGCGGAAGGGAAGCGACGGAGTCGTAAGCGGAATCAGAACGCTGTTTTCACTAGATCATAAGCTCTACGCTTCTGATTATGACTCTGACTCCGACTCCGTCGCTAGTGAAAACCAGGCTTAAGAGCGCTTGTGACCGAGTGAAAATCAACAATCGGAGTCGTAAGCGGAGTCATAAGGGCGACGGAATCGGAGTCAGAAGAATCAGAACGTTCCATTTTCTTCCGACTCCGCTTACGACTCCGTCGCTTACGTTCCGCTTATGATCTAGTGAAAACCAGATTGTCGGAGTCGGAAGCAGAAGCGGAAGGATAAACCAATCACAATGCACGTTCCCACGCTTTGTGATTGGTTTGGTTCTTCTGCTTCTGCTTCCGACTCCGACAATCTGGTTTTCACTAGATCATAAGCGGAACGTAAGCGACGGAGTCGTAAGCGGAATCTGAACGCTGTTTTCACTAGATCATAAGCTCTACGCTTCTGATTACGACTCCGACTCCGACTCCGACTCCGTCGCGAGTGAAAACAAGCCTTTATCGACTATAGAATGCAGCTCGTGGTTCCACTTGAGTTTTGAACATTTTGACGTCATTTCTATGGTCGATAGACAACTTTAACATTGACAGTTTTTGACGTCTATTTCCGCTGAAGTTTCTTGGAAAATTGGGCGCAATAAAAAGAGAAAAATAAATTGCAACACCATCACCTCATTTCCTTGGTCTGTTGGTGTGTACTCTTTTCGAACGTAGCGGCTTCGAATCCCGTTGAAGTCCTTAGTATTATTCAGCCTTAATTTGCAACTGCTTAAATGTGAGTACAACTGCGATGGTGATTTCTCCATTTAGAGAAGAATTCATTCCCGTATAGGGCGTCATGGGAAATATAATTGCTAGCGAACGTTACACGGGACGATTCGCAACAACGAGTTTTAGCACAACACAGCGTAGCAACATTGTTGCGACGTTGATTCAAATGGTTGCAACATGGTTCCAACATTGCAATGCTGTGTTGCGCAAAAAAACCCGTTGCGAATCGTCCCGTGTAACATCACCATTAGCGAGAAAGCGCCCTACATGTACTCTTTTTATAGCGGCAAAATCCAACATTTTGTCGGATGTGAGATCGTACACACGCGGATCTGGTTTGTTTATGACGGACAAACGCCTGCGATGCTTGACGTCACCTAAAACTGCGGATGACTCAAGAAAGTCCTTTGGCATCGCTCACAATAATTTAGCATTTTACCACAGTGGACAAGAAATGCACTTACTACCCGATTAACAGTGAAATGCTTTATCTCATATGTCGATAAAAATTTTAATTTTATACATCAATGTTTTTAATCTGCGGGAGACGCTTCTATGACAAAAACGGTGGCGTCAAAGCTTTCGCTGCTCTTTTACGCCATTTCACCATAAAATGGTTCTACTCCGCCTCCCATGCATGTCCAATTGTCTTAAGCTCCTTGAAGATTCATTTTTTATATTATATTGCTAATATAATTGTGTCGATAACAAACTCCTCAAATCTGATTGGTTCTCAGCAGCTCTTATTTACTGCTTAACTTGGCTGATGCAGCACCAGAACTGTCCAATTTGACCTGTCCGATTATAAGGTGATTGGAATTTGTCAGGTCAAATCGGACAGTTGAAAAGCCAACGAAAGTCGACGCGCTCGGCCGATTTGAAATTAGTCGCTTGATTACTCCCCGAATTGTACTCCACTCAGTCCTATTACCTTTATTTTGTCCTCCACTTCTAACACCAGCACTGATTTTATGTTGAAACTACTACTTATTTTCTGTACGTTTCAGGGAACTGCACCAATCAATGTCATAACAAACATTTTAGAAAAAGCTGTAACAGCTGTGGTCAGCTCAGTGGATAAGGAAACAGACAGCGGAGAGCTGAATGTGATCGTATCTACTGAAAATTTAGGTAAAAGAGAAAATAGTTTAGCTTAAAGTGGGAAGCAATTGGAGAGTTTTGTATTTTATGTAACACTATGATCACGCGCGTATGAGAGACTGGGGAACAAGAGTAATAAGACAACTTGTTAGATGGCTAAATCCGCGAGCGGGCAAGTTGAAGCGAATGCTCTATTCTCATTGGCTATCCAAGCAGACAGATAACCCCGCTTTGTTTGGTTTCTATCGGTTTTTGTCTTGCAAAGTGAATGTTTAAGTAGTACAATCAGGTTATCTTCGCTGGGCCCATCTTGCCAGCTCGAGATTTCCCGCGTTGGTCCCGCGTGCAAAAACCTTCTTTTCGACCATTTAGTAAATCATTCATTGACCTAACTTGCCCCGTCACAATGGCCAGATATTGGCCTCGTTCTTTTTTTATGTTTTCAATGACCTCGGCTTCGTCAAGGTCCATAAAACACCAGCCATCTTGACCTCACGCTTGTATTGATTGTCATGCACGTATCAGTTTCGCACTAGTTGATAATGGCTGCGCAATAACCCACTGCGTTTCGAAATATTTGTTTCAGATATGCAAGTTAAATCTAAGAACAGGCAGGCATATACAGGGTCAAAGATTCCAGCTGATTCACCAAATTTTGTGAACCTTCCTGGCTCGGTCGTGCAAGACAGAGACGACAATGGTAACATGCCACCTTTACACAATACCAGGGACCAGTCGCTAGAAGGCAGATTAGCGCTAACCTGGGGTTAAATTTCAATTCGGCTTTTTTTTGTTTTGTTTGAAAGCACTTAAACGGATAATTTTCCTCTATTATTTAAGAGCATCCATTCATCAAATTGTAGACAAAAGAATTGAACTGAATTTGCTTTCTTAGCTTTTGTATCTGAAATCAAACTTCGCACTAACCCTGGATTATCTTAACCTGGTTTTGAACGACACGGTCCTGAGGCCCGTTTCTCGAAAGTCCCGGTAACTTTTCGGGTCCGAAATCAAATATTCAAATCGAAATATAAATAATAGGAGCGCCGGTCCTGGCTTGCAAACCACTCCATTATGTTTCATTAACTGATAGTTTTATCATGTTAGATGCAAAACTGTTGAAACCTCAATCTTTAATGTAAACGGAGACAGCTTACCGGGCCCGTTAATTATCGGGACTTTCGAAAAACGGGCCCCTGGTTATTTTCAAGTTTAAGCCTAGAGATTTGAAAATCGACCTACATGTGTTCATCATGTCCCAATATCCTTCAATTTCATATCATGGGTTTTCAGTTTGGCGGACATATAAATGTCTTAAAAGAAACACACACACCGGCGCCGCGCTTGATACCATCATAGGCTGTTCTTCTGTGGTGGTTTAAGTCTCCTAGCAGCTCATAATTAAGACTTCAATTACTCTATACGTCGGTATTTTTAGTGTGTCGTGAAGATCAGTGAAGGTGAAAACGATTGCTACGCCCAAACAGCCCTTGAAAAATGCCTTGTGTGCTTTTTACTTCTGAACCTTAACGCACTCTACGGCAAAAGAGGTGTTTTTTGGTTCCATATTTATTCGTTATCATCGTCGTCATCATCATTATCAGCATCATCATTGTTATCGTTATCGTTATCGTTATCGTGATCGTGATCGTCATTTCTTTATCTCCAAGTGGAGAACAGGGTAGGATTCATACATTTGACCTATATTGAATCATTTCTCACTTTTGAAGCCCTGATCAAGAGGGAATGAGCTCATTCTCTCTTGCCTTAATCAATTAAAAATGTATACCTTAATTTAAATCCTCTCTGTGTCCTTCTTTACAGATACGGTGGGTATTTCTGTGGCTCTTCTTAAAGGAGTGAAGAACATTTTATCTAACGATACAGTTGGAGAAAGGTAAAATACATTAAAACCAGCTTACCATCATTAGTCAGTATTTGCTTTGCTGCTTTGGGCGTAAGGCCATAGAAATTTTCATGAGACGAACCAAACTTGGTGAGTTAATTTCATGGAACGTTTGACGTCTGGCTGAATTACGTTCTTCTGCATGAGTTTGGGTCGTCTAACACGTTCTATCCGTCTGCTTCAGACGGATAGAAAAACTCGGTAAGTCACACATTATTTTGATTAATTTTCGTTTTGTCTTTTTTTCTTTCGCATTTAAGCTCAAGCGACAACAGATTGAATTCCATAATTTTCGTCGTCACCGTTATCAATGTCAGTCCAAGGCACCTGGCCAAGTTGAACGAGCCAGTTGTCCTACGCTTTCAACACTTGCGGGTAAGTGGGCAATAAAAGACTATTGCGACCACTCCAACACAATATGCCTTAGATTCTGAGACGAGGACGAGTATATTCTCAGTACTAAGTAGTGTGCGCGCGTGAACTCGCGTCATTTTGGCGGGAAAACGTGATAGCCGTCGTCATCATTCCTCGATTAAAAGACTCCAACATGGTAGTGACGAAAACGAGTCATTAAATGTCATAAGTTTTACCATTTGGCAGTCGGTAGAGAGCTTGAGAGCTTATCCTTCCTCAATAAAAATAACCTTGTTAACTTTTCTTTCTTTTGTGAAGCTCTTCAGGGTGTCTATTTTGTAGAATAGTTCTGTTAGGTCGTCCTCGTCTTCGAATCTAAAGGTCTCTACAAGCCTTAAGCCCCATCTAAAAGATCAAACATTTGTGCCGAACATCTTGTTGGAATTGCATTATTGATCGTTTAGCCACCTCTCTAGACGTAACGTTTAGAATGGTTACATTTGAAAGCTTAATTTAGCCTACATCATCCCACATCTTTCTTCCTGAAGATGTGTTTGTTTGTCCAGCCACCTCGGCTAACATTGCAAACAAATTCTTTTTTTCGTGATAGAAAGATGGACAACAGCATACATGCAGCTTTCTGAATGAAACGGCTATGTAAGTCAACGATGCATTTTTTGAAATATTTTTTTCATTATTTCAGCTAGTTTCTCTAGCTACAATGGAGGTCAAACGTCTTAGGACACTTAACACGATACACCTTAAACTGCCTCCCTTCCCGCCTCGTCCCCGAGCAAAGTTGTATTTTGTGCAACCCTGTACACTTTACCAGCATCGTTTCGAGAGTGGAGGGGAGGGCTATTTGGGAGGGCTATTCGAAGCATCTGAACTATTGCAAAAGTGGATATTATGCTATATTTGCATACTTGATATGTTAGAGCTGGAAGGAAGGTTTTTATAATTTTCCCAAGGATTTTTGTCCTCCATTGTACATAGTATACTAACAAATTTACCACTGATATTTTTTTTCACAGAGCTAAATTCCCTAAGGATTATTCTAAACACTGGTCCTCTGTGGGATGCAAGAAAGTTAAAAGCACAGATGAATTCACCATCTGTCACTGCTCACATCTCACTAGCTATGGCCTTATTATGGACGTACACAACATTTACGTGAGTATATAACTTCTCTGTATTCGGTCAGATTAAAAAATTTTTGAATGGGCAAAATTGCTTTGAAGACATTTACATCAAATTTAAGAAAACTGAGCTGGTAGAAATTTCATAACTTCCTCACGTGTGAATTCACTTCTCGTTACGCATGCAGGAATTCAGAGATGAATAGTGAAATCTACAACTACCAACCGATTCAATTTTGTATAATAAATTCATTAATTGAATCTTGGGGTTGGGGTACGCTTGACTCTGCTTGACTATAACCATTTACGCTGATTATTTCCCAGGACAAACTTGATGAGGACCACAAGGAAACACTCAAGTACATCTCACTTGTGGGCTGCTGCGTGTCCATTTTCTTCTGTCTTTTGGCTGCTCTGGGATTCTCATTTGCTATGTATGTAATGACGCTGGTTCACCCGTGCGTACCACTTAGTATTGAGAAAATCTCATACTCGCATTCGTCCTCGACTTAGAATATCTTAAAGCCTCTAATTGTTCTAGGGCTTGAAATAATTTTGCGGATGCGCCAGTCAAATTGTGTGGTCAAACCTATTTATTTGCCAGACAATTAACAATTATTAGACGAGGTTGAACAAAATATCGTGATTTGTCTGTGGCGAGCAGATCAATTATTTGCCGAAGCCGAAGGCTGAGGCAAATAATTGATCTGCAAGACACTGACAAATCACGATATTTTGCGATAACAAGTTCAATAATTGTTTTATCATTCGATCACCGAGTTTGTTTTTTTAATGAATATCCTCGGGAAGCGAAGCGATCTGCTTCTTTCACGCAAGAGCGATCGCAAGAAGGAGAAAAGCACGGTTTC